CCCCAAAACCCCAAAACCCCAAAACCCCAAAACCCCATGTATCCAAATCTATAAATATTCAGGAGAGATATTATTTTTACTAAAATTATTATAATATCAGAATCATGGCATTATCACAGTAACAAGCTTATCTAGAAGATGCATAGTATGAAATAAGAGTGGCTGGGAGGTTTAAGATGGGCAAGAAGATTGGAAGTGGATCTTTCGGAGAAATATTCTTAGCTGTTGATTTGCATACTGGGAAGGATTGTGCAATCAAATTTGTAAGCAGTAATAGTTATTAATATTTATAAGGAATCGAAAAAAGTGAGAAGACCATAACTTATCGAAGAAGCTAAACTTCTTAAGGAATTTGTTGGAGAAAGTAATAAATAAGTCAATATCTGATATTTTAGCTGGTTTCCCTTAATTTTTAATGTTCGGATAGGAGGGAGACTACTACATCATGGCCATCGAACTCTTAGGGCCCTCACTTGAAGATTTATTTGTGTACTGCGGCAGGAAGTTATCCCTTAAGACTGTACTACTGATAGCAGACTAGCTCATTCATAGAATAGAGATCTTTCAAACTAGAGGTTATATTCATAGAGATTTGAAACCTGAGAACATATTGATTGGGTTAGAAGAAAATGCTCAAACATTGTATTTAATTGATTTTGGTCTAGCAAAAAGATGGAAAAATCCCCATACAAATGAACATATTCCCTACAGAGATAAGAAAAGCTTGACTGGTACAGCTAGATATGCATCGGCTAATACTCATCTTGGAGTGGAGTAGAGTAGAAGAGATGATCTTGAAGGTGCAGGATATGTTTTACTTTATCTTCTTAAGGGCGAATTACCATGGTAAGGACTTAGAGCAAGAAATAAGGATGATAAATACAGGAAGATTAAAGACTGCAAGGTCAACACTCCAATTGAGTAGTTATGTCACGGACTTCCAGAGGAATTTGCAATTTTTATGAGCTACTGTAGACAATTGAAGTTTGACGAAGCCCCTAATTATTCTCAAATTAGAAGAAATTTCAAAGAGCTTTATTATAAATGTGGATTCGAGCATGAATTTATATTTGATTGGACTATTCAGAGATATAGAGTAGACAAGCCTAATAATTCCTCTTAAGAAGATGAAAAGAAATCTGGATACCATGAATCAATGAAAAATTAAGCAACTTCTTTTGATGATTAGAATGAGGAAGCACCTGGCACAAATCCAAATAAAGACTGGTAAGAGAAAGCTCAAGATCAGATTGAACAAGAAGATGAATAGAAAATAAAAATAGCAAGTGATGCAGTGAATTAGCTTCGAGAAAATATAATTCACAATAGAGTTACAACGAGGGGTATAGAATAATAGATTTTAGAGGGAGATTTGCCCTCAGGCAGCAAGAAAAAGAAAAAAGATAAAAAAAGCAAAGAGAAAGGTGATAAAAAGAAGTGCATCATCTTTTGAAAATGATATCAATAACAAATAGAGCATTCTATTTTATTCTTTAATATAAAATTACTTACCTTTTATTATTCGATTTATGACCACTTGGGGTTTTGGGGTTTTGGGGTTTTGGGG